TCCTGCTCTAGACATGTGACCTATTTATTTACGGACAGTTTAGTTTTTTTTTTTTTTTGTATTTCGTTTATTTACTTTTGTTTACAAATAATTGTTATTAATGCTTAGGGATTATATATATATATATATATATATATATATATGTGTGTGTGTGTATATATATATATATATATATGTATGCATACACACACACCCATATATGCGTGTGTGTATGTGATAATAATGATATTAATGCTTATGCTAAATACTTATGCATACTCATGCTCGCGCACACACACACACACACACACACACACATATATATATATATATATATATATATATATATATATATATATATACATACATATACACATTTATATGTTCACTGGGTTATTATTTCGTTTTCTAATTGGGTTTAGTGATATCATAAGTATTCATTGTAGGAGGCTAGATTAATAAGTTTATTTATTATTGTTAGAATTTATATCTGTAATTATTCGTCCATGTATATGCACATGTACACATCTATTCACCCGGATATATAGGCATAGCGTACGTACACATGTACGTGCACGCTCGTGTACATGTTCAGTTAAGTCTGTGCTTTATTAATAATAGACTGGAGGCATAAAGGGTGAAGTCATTTAATTTTTGAAATATCATTTTTACACGACTCCTCACACACATATTTATTTGTTTATTTTTAGTTAGTGCTTAGAAGGTAAAGTATATATATATTTATATGTCTACATTTGCCAATTTTTCTTGTTTAAGAGTTTATTTTGGTTTTTAAAACTAATTATTGCTAATATTTCCTCTAAGCATAATTTACAATTTTTGCTGTTAATACTGTAAGGAGCTGCTCTTTTTATAATTTCCCATTTGATTTTAGTGGGGATATTGCTTTCTTCTTGGCTCCCTATGTATTTTGATAGAATTGTATTTTTGTGTATTTTTTTTCTTTTTTTGTGGTTATAATAACTTTCTCTAAAAGTTTTTCTGTGACCTCTATGTAAATTATTTTGTCTGTATTAATGGTATGATTTCCAATGGCTTTGTATATTATGTTATTAATTAAATATTATTGTTAAGTGGGCAAGTTTTTTTTTCTACAATTATATTTAATGGTGTTATTATGCTGCATGTTATTGTTATTGTCGGTGTAATTGTTGTTGGTTTTGTTGAATATTTTTTATTGTGCTTAGATTTTATTTTCTCCATGTTATCCATGGAGCTGTAACTAATTTTGATTGTATTTTTGTTGATAATTTGCTGCCTTTAGGGAAGTGTTTGTCAATTGTTTTGAAGAATATTTTCCCTATTTTTGTTTTTTATTTTAGTGTTGTAGGGGGAGGAGGTGAACCAAATTATATTTATTGTTCTATTGTTTATGTTTGAATTATTTTCGTTTTTGTATTCTAGTTTCTTTGAATATCCGCTGCTTCTTAGGGCTGATTCATATATTTTATTTATTGTCACTGAATATTTTTAGGCTACTAGAATTTGATGAGATTCTTTTATTTATAGATATGGGCATTTGTTTTAATACGTTAGTGGGGTGGTTAATATTATTTGGCTGTGTTTGGTTTTCTGCATGACTTGTAGGTTCCGTTGTTTGGGTTGAATGTTTTATGTAAGAAATTTACTATTTTTTATTTGATTTTATTTCTATTGTAAAGCCTAGGGTTTTTTAAATTTTATATTATTCCTTGTTTTAATTTTTCTGTGGTTCTGCTACTTCAGTTTCTCAGGTTTATAGACCGTCTCTGTATATCCTTATTTCTTTTTTGTTAGTAACATCTGTTAATTTGTGCATTATATTTATGCCTGTTAGTTCGCATATATATGTGCCATTATAGCTACCCATCGTTACGTCAAAATTATTATTATTATTATTATTGGTATTTTGGCCCTTTTTTGTTCATCTATTTTATTGTAGTATAATATTGATTTTCGGCAATTTTTAATTATATTTGTGTCCTCATTGGGGATATTGATGTACTGTTTTGCTAAGTTTAATGCGTTGGTTAGTGTATGTTTATTAATAGATGGGTAAAAATCTTAAATATCTAATTGTATAAGGAGTAGTTTCTTTGTTACTAAAGTTTCTATAACAAATGATTGTTGGTTTATTCTTTTTCCCTTGATTTATGTTTTGTATTCTTCTTAGTCTAGAGCATATTTCTAATATTTGCTTATTTTCCAAATATAGCTTTTCCGTGGATTTACTAATCTATATGTTGGTTTGGTCGTGAAGTTGTCATTATGGTCATTTTATTTAATAAATGGTTCTACTTTTGCTAATGGTTTTATCCTGTTGTCTATTTTTAGTTTGGAGGATATAGTTTAGCTTTCTGTTTAGTTAGTAGTGGTTTTGTAAAATTTAGTGAATTCTTTGTCGACATTTTTATTGTAATTGTTGGTTTCCATTTTATAGGATATTCTGGATTTATCTGCTTTCATAAATAGTTTTTTTTAGTTGTTTATCATTTTTTGGTCTTTTTCGAGTCTTTTTTCTGGAAATTATTGTTGAATTTTCTAATTTCCAAATTATTGATGATGTCTGTTTTGTCATTTTCAAAAGCAATGCGGTTGTTGTTGTTGTGGTGGGCATTTCCTTGATGCAAATACTAATTTATTAGTATTATTGTTGTTATCGGTGTTGTTGCCATCATTGTCATGATCTTTGTTGTTATATAGATTTATAACATATTTCATGGACTTAAACAAATTCACTGTGAAGCATACATATACGCACACAACACACACACACACACACATATATATATATATATATATATAGCATAATGAGAAGCCACGTATACTTTCTTAATATGTATATATAGAAAAAGTTGCAAATTAAAAGAATAATAATGTTTTTATGAAAGTATTTATTTATTTCTATATTTGATATTTCAGATTGACCTCAATCTTTCTTCAGAAAGGTAAACAAATCGTTATTTCTGAAGAAAGATTGAGGTCAATCTGAAATATCAAATATATATATAAATAAATAAATACTTTCATAAAAAACATTATTCTTTTAATTTGCAACTTCTAATTTAATTAAATCTTTTAAATATCGGAATTAGTTGTTTTGTGTTAGTTCACATTTATTATTATTTTATATTATTTTCTTCCTGAGTACATTCGAGTGTTCTTACATTCTTTTTTAAGGATTGTTCTCTGTAGATTTATGCAACTGTTTATAATTCTGGCATTCCCAGGTTCGATGAATCCAGTTTCAAGTCACTTACGGTAACGTCATATAAACATTCAAACTATATATATATATATATATATATATATATATATATATATAGAGAGAGAGAGAGAGAGAGACAGAGAGAGAGACATAGATAGATAGATAGATAGATAGATAGATAGATAGATATTGCTCTAATTTGTACTGAACACTTTTTTAAAATAAATTCTACAAAGGAGTTTTATTCTATCGGTTCTTTCTCTCATATATATATATATATATATATATATATATATATATATATATATATATCATACGTAAATTTAAAACCATTTTTACCTTTGGAAATGTGATCTGAAGAACCATGAAAACCACCATCATGGGGAAATAAAATATAATCAATGGACCCCTAAGGTTGTCTGTTTTCTAATTAAATTTATATATATATATATATATATATATATATATATTATATATATATATATATATATTAAAATCAACAGAAAATGTCTTTTGTTTTAAGTTTAGACATACACGCGCACACGCATTAAGTATAGACATACACGCGCGTGCACACACAAACATACTTGTATACACAGGCACAGACAGACACACACAGGGCATATATATATATATATATATATATATATATATATATATATATATATAATATGATTTGAAATTTTGTTTCTGAATTAATCAATATTAAATCAGAGGTTTCAAATTTTTATCAATTCAGGAATTATATTTAAAATCTTAAGTAATAATATATATATATATATATATATATATATATATATATATATATATATATATATATATATATGTATATAAATAAAATTCGCTTGAAGATGAAATAGAACTAATGCTTTTAATTTATTTGCAAAAATAAAATTAGGGGTTTTTAGCTTCTATTTTTGAAACATGGTTGGAACTGTGTAGCGAAAATAACCATATTTTAAATCAATTAATTTATAATATATATATATATATATATATGAGTGTGTGTGTGTATGTGTGTGTTTAAAATATACAAATATCTGCGTATTTTATTTCCTTTTTTCTCTTCTTGACCTCACCTCTGAGTGTTGACTTCAATATAGTAAAGGTAACAAATCCGTTGGTATAAAATCCAAGTGGATCCTTGTAATATAACATATTAAAACTGATCCACAAAAAGTGGCTAATGTATTTATTATTACAGAACAAATAATTAATAAGCAATAAAATCCAAAATCACCTCATATGGCGAATAGTCTACATCGGCAGACGAAGATATCGTCCGTCTGTCTTATCAACCCCGGTGTAGACTGAATTCTTGTCAGAAAAATGATCTTATATATATATATATATATATATATATATATATATATATATATATATATATTTATGTATATATATATATATATATATATATGTGTGTGTGTGTACATATGTCAGACCCTCTATTTCAGTCTATTCCTATCTTTCTATTCGTCTATGTATCTATGTGTGTGTGTGCTGTTATTTGTGGGCATCAACTCACTGAAGCATAAGGAAAAATGAATAATGTCCAATTTGCATGAATTTCTTGGTGATTTTCGTTTCATTTTAATGTTTTCATAATCGATTGGAGATAAAGATATTTTCTTTATTGCATTAGACGAGGAATCACGTGCATTTTCAGTCGCCTTAACCTATAAACACCAGGATTTTTCTTTTCTTTTTTTTTTTTTTTGCTAAATCGTAGAATATCACAAATCGAACCGTTGAAATTTTCGTCCATTTATTTACGGTTAGTTTCGTAAAGTCTTTGATCACACATGTAATACATACGCTGCATTTATTTACCAAGCACACACACACACACACATACACGGAACAAGTAACTAAATGAAGAAAAAGAGGGAGAGAAAGAACGGGAAAACGAAAGACAGAGAGAGATAAATAGAAAAAATAGAGAGAAAGAAAGAGATGCCGAAATGGTATTATTTTCGATAAAGTGCACTTAATCGTAGTGAAACTTTCAGCGCTTTGGTCTTGTGGATATTAAATAGTGAGTTCGATCCGCACTGGGTGGCTTTTGCCAAAACTAAGCTAATCTAATTTATATCAAAATAACTAATTGATGCCTTCACTATGGCTGCGGTAAAAAAAAAAAAGATAACAGTAGCTCATATTTTGTGTAACATCCCCCTCCCCATATCGCCCCACAGACATTGAGCGGAAGATCAAAGTTATTCCCTGATGTCTGAGGCATTCCCAGCAGAAATGCATAGGGAAGGGTGAAATTTCGAGGTACATTCCATTGTTATGATAGAAAAGCTATAAATATATACATACTTATATGCACACACACACACACACACACACACACACACACACACACACACACACACACACAATCTATGATACGTCCCCCCACTCTACTACATCTCAATTTTCATAAAGTATTATTCAGATAATATTGTAACCTAATTATTTGCAGAGTCTGTCTATTTTTCTGAAATGAGGTGTTATGTACATTATTTACATTATTCGGACTATCGTCCTCATCTTTGTCGTCATATGTATTACAACGTTTCGGGCGTTGTACGCTCCGGCCTTCTTCAGGTGGTTTATTCAAGGACTCATGGCACAGTGGATAAAGCGTTAGTTAGATCCAGTGACAGGACCCAAAGAGTGTGTGTTCAATACCCGATTAAGGCAGTGGAGAACTTTCAGAGGGAAATTAACAGGAGATAACTGATAACTGACATCCATCAAACATGGCACGTTGAACTAGAATAGTCTAACCCTGTGAGCGAAATAAAGGGTTCAGTTCGACATTCCAACCACCTGAAGAAGGCCGGAACGTACAACAGCTGAAACGTTGTAATAAATATGGCGACAAAGATGAGGACGATAGTTCGAATAATGTAAATAATGTACATAATACCTCATCTCAGAAATATAGACAGATACTGAAGATTATTGATGTCAAGACACGTTTGTTCTTACTGTCTAGGCTCCAGCCCGGGGAAAGCTTCTGGACGTAGTTTAACGTCTTATCCAGGACGCGGACGTAGTTTAACGTCTTACCCAGGACGAGCACGCAGTAAAGATCGAACTCACTACTCAATCGTAAATAATCTAGTGAGACAAGCTTGCTAAACATTACACAACGTCGAGGTGTCCGAACAATCATCTTCTATGTGCCGTGTCTCAGGACCGGTGCAAGGGTCTCATGCACCCCCACCAACCCCGAATTTTTAACACAAGGCCCAATTCATCTCATTTTTCATAAGGTAGTATTCATATAAAATTCAAATTTTATTATTACTTAATTATGTACTGTTAGACATTTTCATGATGGTCGTCCTTGAGTATAGAATCCAGAGGTTGGCAGTGAATATTTCGGAGACAGTAGGAAAGCGTAGTGGAGGTTCGCAGTGGATATCACAGCAGAGTGTAGTCCATCCTTCTCCTGGTTGCCTTTGGTCCTTCCGGTAGAGGAAACAAGATGGCCGCCTTTATACACGACGAATACAGTGTTGTGCGGCTTCTGATTGGTCAACCTTCTATTGGTCGACTATAAAGGGAAATAAGTCATTCTGACTCGCTCACTAGTTATATACGATATACCCCAAAAACCGTAACATGTACAATAATGGATCAGTTGCAATATTGATGAAAATGGCACGTGGAACTAGAACAGTCTAACCCAGTGAGCGAAATAAAGGGTTCAGTTCGACATTCCAACCACCTGAAGAAGGCCGGAGCGTAGAACGGCCGAAACGTTGTAATAAATATGGCGACAAAGATGAGGACGATAGTCCGAATAATGTAAATAATGTAATTATTTGCAGTAATGGATCATGTTCAATACAGGTGAAGAATTCTACTAGAAAAATTGAAAATAAATACGATGTATTTAAATACAAATCAGAGACATGTCGTAATTAATCACTCAATAAATTAAATAATTCAACAATGTTTTGTGACAGTTCTTAAAATCAACTTGAGATTTCCTTTGTTAAGAAGTTGAATAATTTTAACACACTCAACATTATGGCTGAAAAACTAGCAAATTTGATATAGTGTTTTTTTCGAGACTTAACATGAGTAAAAAATTCGCTGATTTGGACTAAAAAACAAAAGACCCAGTATGACGTCAAAATCCGCGAAAATTGATCATCCTTTAATAGTCAATTGTGCTTAGTTTAATTTGCAACGTTTATGAATGTCGGTAGAAAAAGCAAGACATTGATAAGATAGCAAATGTCAGAAAGCAATCAAAGATAGTAAGCACCGTCCCTGATTGTCCCTGATTGTCCCTGATTGTCCCTGATTGTCCCTGATTGTCCGGCAAGATTCCTTTGGTTACATTCTTGTATTCTGTAGAGAGTTTAAACTTTGAATCAGTTCAAAGTAGCAACATGTGTAATGGTTCAAAGAAGCGAAATATCACAGAAAAAATGTATCAATTATTATTATTATTATTATTATTACTTCCTTGGGTTCCTTTTGTATACATATTTCCTTCCGGGTCCCTAGCAGAGACCTAAGTTCAGAAATGGCTCCCAATTTAAAGTCAGTAATGGCTTCATGACAAAAATAACAAAAAAAAAACAACAAAACAAAAAAAAAAGATCACATACATTTTATATTTCTTTAACCCTTTGAAGCCTGCATTCCTGAACAATTTTAACCCTTCCCCTGAGCTCCTGAGTCAAAATTCGCAAATAATTGGTATGTAATGTTTCACGGTAGATATAAAAATAGTGTTTACCCACCGTTCAACAGGTGGCTGGGTATTAAGTCATTTTTCTCTACCACTGTTCAACTAGTGGTTGGGCATTACGTCATTTTTCTTTACCACCGGTAAAGCGGGGGTCAGGGCTCAAAGGATTATGGCATGGACTACCAGGAATCCCTTCAATAAATCGATCGGACTATTTCCCAATCAAACCGTGGGCTCCAAATACAACTGTAATTATTGATGTCCTCATGTGCCACATTTTTTATATTTTCACTTTAAGATCCTTGTATTTTGAAGAACTTCAAAGATACATTACAATCTGCAGGGACTGCCTAGTCAATAAGAAAGCACATTCTGTTCTTGTGGTATTATTATTATTATTATTATTATTATTACTACTACTACTAATACGTATATAAAATATTGTATACACATTTCAAAATCTTGGCGAATTTACTAAACCTTATTTGGATA